TCATTGTGTGCGCCAAGGAAGAGGGGCGGGGCAAGTCGGTTCCGGGACGATTCACGCGTTGGTTTTTGGCACCGCGTGTCCACCGCCGGAAGGTGTCCACGTCCACCGCTTCGGGGTCGTGCCCTGGGATCTTGACGAGCGGTGGATGTGGACACCTGCCCGCCCGCGTCGGCACCCCGGAGACCGTTTTTTCGGGTCAGGCGATAACCCGGGTTCTCGGGCTCCCCCCCCCACAGGATAACATAACCTTGCGGGTCGCGCAGGCCCGGCGTGTGTGTGTGTGTGGGTGGGGGGGGCGCGGGCATATGCAGGGCTGTCCTCAGCGCGAAAGTCAGGTCATCGGCCGGCCCCCTCCTCCTCCTCCTCCTCCTCCCTCCTCCTCCAACTCCTCCCTCACTCCTCCTCCTCCTCCTCCTCCTCCTCCTGCTCCTCCTCCTCCCTCCTCCGTCCTCTCCTCGACCTCATCCTCCACCTTCTCCTCCTCCTCCTCCTCCTCCTCCTCCTCCTCACTCCTCCTCCACCTCCCCCCCGCTCCTCTCCTCCTCACCCTCCTCCTCCCTCCATCCCCCTCCTCATCCTCCTCCTCCTCCCTCTCCTCCTCCCTCCTCCTCCTCCTACTCCTCCTCCTCCTCCGCCTTAACCTCCTCCTCCTCATCCCCATCCTCCTCCCCCTCTCCTCCTCCTCCCCCTCCCTCCTCCTCCTCCTCCTCCCCCTCCTCCTCCTCTCCTCCTCCTCCTCCAACTCCTACTCCTCCTCCTCTCCTCCTCCTCCCTCCTTTCTCCTCCGCCCGTCCTCCCCCCTCCCCGAGATACCCCTGGGCTATCGCCGCTCAAAAAACGAACGCTCCCCTGATGGATCTGCGGCCTGCGGGCACCGCGGGCCGTGCGGCTCCCGGCCGACCTCGGGCCGCCCCGGCGGCCTGCCGCCTCCGCGGCGCCCCGGCGGGGCGGCGCCGCCGCGTCGGCACGGCGCGGGTCTGCCGTGGAGCAGGAGGGGGACAAACACACAGACAGAGTGAATCGTCGATTCCCAGGAAGATATGGAACACTATGGTCGGGCCGGACGAAAGGGGGGGTTTGGGAAAGGGGGGGTTACGAAATTTGCTGCATGCAGCTGGGGAGGGGGAAAAACACACAGACACAATTCATCGTCGATTCCCAGGAAGATATGGAACAATATGGGAAGTGAGGGGGAAAAACACACACAGACAGAGTGAATCGTCGATTCCCAGGAAGATCTAGAACACTATGGGAAGGGGGGGGGAAGACAAAAACCCAGAAAATATGGGGAACTATGGGAAGACAAAAACCCAGAAAATATGGAAAAAAGTCTGCCGTGGAGCAGGAGGGGGACAAACACACAGACAGAGTTCATCGTCGATTCCCAGGAAGATGTGGAACACTATTGGAAGGGGGGGGGGAAGACAAACACCCAGAACATATGGGAAGATCTGGGGAATCCTTCTTATGTGTGTGCATTTATGTGTGTGTGTGTGTCCCTGGGGCCCCTTCAGTAGAGCACTCGATCGGGCATGTCCCTCTGCAGGGGGAATTTTTAAGAACATGGTCAAAACATTGCCTGGGGACGATTTTCCGATCATTCTTCGACTTTTTTTTGTTTCTAAACTTTGGCAGCTCGTCCAATATTCGCCTGTAGGAGGACATGCCCGACCTGACCCTGGCACAGGCGTGCCCCTTGAGCAAGTGTTTCTGGTTTTTGAGCGAAGGTCGAATTCTTGCCGTGTCGCAGAGGTCTGTAGGCGCAGGCTCGTGGTCAAGAGGGGAAGTTCCAGGGGAACATAGAGGGAGCCTTTAGGAAGCTACGCGTCTGGATTCCGAACCACGCTCCTGGGTCCTCGTGAAGGGTCACGCGGGGCACCCTGAGAGCGTACATAGGCGCCAAGGAGATCCTCGAGTTGGGGTTCTGGGGCTCTGACGGAGTAGTTTCATTATGTGTCAAAAACTCGAAGGGGCATGATGACACTCCACTCAGTGGCTGCGGCACGGTGTCGGTTCTTAGTGTGTCGCGCCGCCGATTCTGGCCCACTACGCTTCGGCGCAACATGCGAGCTAACCACGTCCTGGTCCCCAAGCGTCAATGTCTCGAGCTCTTACCAGCCTCCCGCCCCGCGGAGCGGAGCGACACGCCATCGGCTCGCAGGGCGTAGCGTGTCGCCATGGCCACCGCCGTGGCACGCGAAGCACAAGTTCTTGGCCGTCGTTTGCCTCTCGCGTTTGCCCTCGGACTCGGCCAGAGGCGTCCACACTTCAGCTCATCCCTCGCTCGTTGCTCGTTCCCTGTCCCCTAGGTCCTCCTCCCCTGTGCTCCCGTGCTCGACGCACGGTTGACCCCTGGCGGGATGCAGCCGGGCCGCAATTCATCGCACGGGCTTGAACACGTGCGGCAGGTCCGCGTCGTGTCGACGTGTCGACGCGGCGGCGACCCCGCCGCGGGCGTCCCGCCTCGGGCGTTCCAGGTTTGGCGCCTGCGGTGGCCCAGAATCGGCCAATGTGGAACGAGCTGGCGATCGAAAAGCCGCCAGCCCGTTCAGGATTCAACGGTCTACGCGGTGTCACGCACGAGCGACGGGTCGTCACCGCGAGCCTGCCGCATCACAGGTTGCGCTTCGCGCGGTGCTTTAGGCTCGGTTATCGCTCGCACGTTGCACGCACTGGCAGGCAATTGCGCCTTGGCGCCCTGGTTCCGCTTGGATAAGTGATAGTCAGACCGACCTGGTCTGACTAATTCGTTCCCGAACCACATGTGATACTTCTGAGTCTGTGTGTGACCGCCAAAGTCTGGACCCCTCGCGAGTTTTCTTTGATCAGGGAAGTGTAGAAGCATGCAGTGTAACAGCCGCCTTGGCACTGTTTTCTTTCTCTGCGGTCTCTTGGAACCATCTTGGGTCTCTCTCAGTGTCCTCGCGGTGGGGCATCATTGGGTCCCTCTTGGGGCTGTATTGGGGGGTCTAGGGGCCCTCGTGGGGCTCTTTGAGGGGGGGGGCTGGGAGGCCTCTTTGGGCTATCTTGGCCTCCGAGGCTCAACAAGAGATGGGTAAAGGATGCATGTCCCCCCCTCAGAGGTTCAGGCATGTCGCCTTGAGGCTTTCTGGAGCTGTTATTGGAGCGCTCTTGTGCTCTCTTGGGGCCGTCTTGGAGCCCTCTTGGGGTTCCCTTGGGCCTTCTTTGGGGCATTTTGGTGCCTCCGAGGCCCATTGGAAGCGATGAGGCAAGAAGGCAAACATCATCAATCGTCCTTAGGTGTTGGAGCCAGTCTGGCCTATTTGGGGGATCCTTGGAGAGCTCTGGGGGCACTTAGATCCATCTTGGGGCCGTCTCGAGGCCTCTTGAATGTGCGTCTGCTGCTATCTTGAGCCATCTTGAGTTATCTTGAGCCAAGTTTGAGGCCAACTTGGGGTCCATGAGGCCCTCTTGGAGCCATCTTGGGCCATCTTCGGCGCTCTGACCGATCGCGGCCCCACCCCCATCCCAGGTCCAGGGGAGGGGGTAGGGGGAGGGGTCAAGCTACTCACCCGCCCGCAAGCCGTCCAGCTCACTCCCACCCGCCCTCCCAACACATAAGTAACACCCGAGCCTGAGCATGTTCAGCAGTCGTCTTTGGATGGGCAATTACTGGGAACCAAAGCCGACCCCAGGTGCGCGACGCTTGGGCGAGGTGCGCCACGCGTGCCAGGGGCGACACGCGCGGCAGGCACCCCTGGGGCCCGAGCGTGCTGGGCACGCTTAGTGCGCTAGATGCCCCACGTGCTCCGAGTGCGCCAGGTGTGCCGCAAACTCCAGCCGCGCCAAGTGCGCCACGTTCGGGGCACGTGCAGAGTGCGTCAGGTGCACCTGCGCACGTGACGGCACACTTCGGGAAACACGTCGGCCCCTGTCGAAAACCAATGCCCATCATTGTGCCTGGTGGGCCTGCGCACAGCAGGCCATACGCCAGCACCCCCGCCGTCCCTGTCAAACATCACTTGACAGTGACCGCGGGATGGCCGCGCATGATCCGGATTCAGCCGCGAGGTGCATGTTGTATTGTTTTTTGTCAGGGATGGTAGCCTTGCGCACAGCATGGAACATGCTGACACCCCCGCCGTCCCTGTCAAAAACAATACGATGCCTCACGAACATGACTCCAGACTTTTTTTTGACAGGGATGGTGGGGGGGGAGGGCGCATCTGGTTGGCCGCACGTGCTCCCAATGTGGAGGCAGAGTGCGGCTTGTATTTATTCTTTTTTGACAGGCATGGTGGGGGACGGGCCTGCATGGGGTCGGCATGGTTCCAGGTTGGCCGCCGGCCGGGTGGTGGAGGGGGGTGTTTACGAACGAGGAACAGTGATCCCGAGCAGGGGCCCTGAAGGATTTTGGCAGAGAGAAGACAGCACTCGTGAAACCACCTACGGTCGGGGCCCTGAAGAAGGAACGCTTTTCGGTGGGGAGGGGCTCCGCGATCCGTAAGTGTTTCACAGCGTGCCTCAGGCTTTCCTTATGTTTTCGACAGAAAATCGAAGGTTAACTTATGTTTTCGACAGGAAAAAGGGTTCTCGTTCCTTATTTAGGGTTCCTTAGGTCAGCGCCCCGACTGTACGCCAAGAGGGCTGGTTGGACTTACCGCGCTCACTTTCATCCGATACCACGCTGCCTGCGTCGGCCCTCGCTGCACCGCCTGCATCGTTCCGAAGGGCGTCGGTAGATGAGCACACGTCGACGCAGATGCTCGTTCCGAGAATCGTCGACCAGTCTCGGAGGCCTAGAGATTGACACCAACACCAATACAGTGAGCGGCTTGACTAAGGAACGCTTACTTTTCAAAAGGGGCTCGGTCGTTCCTTCGGTTTCGTATGCGTTATTAGTTATTTATCGTTCCTTATGCGTTATTCCTTGGGATAAAAAAAGGGGCCTCGTTCCTTATTTATCGTTCCTTAGGTCAGGCCGATGACTGAATCGGCGGTGTGCCTCCACCGAGGGAAGATGATCCCGATCTCGGTGATGGCGGTATTCTTCGGGCTTCCAGTGTGGCCGAGAGATTACCACCAACACCAAAATCTGGGATCAGCCTCCCCTGGTGGATGCAGCCCCCTGTTTTGGTGTTGGTGCCTATGTTCAGGTGTCCAATTATCTGATTGGCGTTGACGCCCGTTCTAGATTGGCTCAGTTAGGCCGTGGCATGACCAGAGGAGTTTGTCGCGCGGTCCGTAGACCTTGGCCTCGCATTTTGAGCTCAAGATTGTCTGCTGTTTGACTCGCCATTGCGCATTCGATTTTCTATGTGAGCACGCCGCATTCTTTCTTGTAGTGTCAACTCATCACTCTTCCGCGACATGGCTGAGCCGGCACACAAGACCGCAAAGTTTGTGGTTGGCGACATTGCCAGCAGACCAGGAGAGTCATGGCTGGTTGCAGCCGGGGTGCCTCGTCTTGGATTGGGCTTGGCTGCGTTGGGGCGTCCTGGCTACATAAATACGGGCCGCAAATCAGACTTAGCTAATCTCGAAGATAGGACGCCAGAGGCAATGAAAATGCATGCTTGGAAGGTTCTAGATGCGGCTTGGGCTGCTGGCGTTCGATACTTCGACTGCGCCAGAAGCTATGGTCTGAGTGAGCAGTTTCTCGCAGGTTGGCTGGATGCACGTACCATAGACTGCCAGACGGCGGTTGTTGGTTCCAAATGGGGTTATCGGTATACTGCAGACTGGAAAATTGATACGGGCGGGGCTCCCCATGAGGTGAAGGATCATTCTTTGACTCATCTCGAAGAACAACTTTCCGAAACTAAAAAATTGTTGGGAGGGAAAATTCGTTTATATCAGATCCACTCAGCCACTATCGAGAGCCGTGTTCTCGAGAACACCGAGGTGCTGGATCGTTTGAGACAGGTCCGGGACGTGGACGGGTGGCGTCTCGGTCTTTCCTTATCTGGCACTGCTCAAGCAGCCACTTTAGAAAAGGCATTGGACACACAGCTTTTCGATTCAGTGCAGGCCACATGGAATCTTTTCGAGCAGTCTGCAGGAGATGCATTATTGAAAGCCAAACAGGCAGGCTTACAAGTAATTGTCAAGGAAGCGATGGCAAATGGACGATTGCTCAAGTGTGACGCCTTGATTGAAGCAGCTGCTGAGTTGGCCGTGGCTCCAGATGCATTGGCTTTGGCCGCTGTGATGGCACAACCCTTCGAACCCATGGTTCTGTCTGGTGCTGTGACTACCGATCAGTTTCAAAGTAATCTAGGAGCTATTGAACTCGCGGATGCACTACGAGGAGACAAGGCTGCTGTGCTACAGAGGCTGATGCAGGATTTGCGACATGATGCTGACGACTACTGGAAGGATCGGTCCGCACTGACGTGGAACTGACAGGACGTCTTTAGGCACCCAACGCTCAGGAGGAGAAAAGGCACACAGACACAACGAATCGTGGGGGGGAAACTATGGGAAGTGTGGGGGGGAAGACAAACACCCCGAAAGTCTGGGCAAATATGCGGCACCCTGGGACGTGTGCCTCTTCCTTTGTGTGCCCCTGGGCCCCTCGAGAAACGCTCGAGCCAGCAGGCGACTCCCCAGTCGGGGCTCCGGAGCAGTGCACCAGCAGCCGCTGCCAGGGGTTGGCCCGGCCCCCGGCCCCCGACTGTGCCTGGCTTCCCGACGGGATAGGACCGCGCCTCTTGCCCCCGCGGAGGGCGGGACGGGTAAGCTCGCCGCGCCAGCCGTGCTCCATCCGGGGAGCTTTCCGGCTCCCTCCTCTTCCTCCTCCTCCTCCTCCTCCTCCTCCACCTCCTCCTCCCTCCTCCTCCTCCTCCTCCTCCTCCTCCTCCTCCTCCTCCTCCTCCTCCTCCTCCTAACTGAAACGGCCGCGGCGCCCAGTACATCCTCCAGACTTGGCCAGCTCTCAGGGGTCTCCGATCTATGCCGATCCGACGTGAAGTGTCCTCGTGCCGGCCACGTCTTAGCTGGCCCAGCCGGGCCGTGGCGTGACAGGCAGGGGCGTGCCCCGCGCTGGCTGTGGTCCGCGCGCAGAGCAGGAGAAGGTGACAGCAGTAGGCGGGAGGAGGAGCTCGCAGGCCCAGAGGTTGACACCCATTCCAAGATCGGCGGTGTGCCTCCACCGAGGGATGGAGATCCCGATCTCGGTGCTGGTGGTAATATTCTGGCTTCCAAGGTGGCCGAACTATTACCACCAAGACCGAAATCCAGGATCATCTTCCCCCTGTGGAGGCAACCCCCTGTTTTGGTGTTGGTGCCCATTTCCAGGCCTCCAAGGAGCAGGAGGACTGAGAGGGTCGACGAGGAAAAAATGTTTGGCGCTCCGCGCGTACGCAAACACAAGCTGCAAGCAACGGAATAAGCAGCGGGAACACAATAAACATGTCAGATGGTATGCACAAACTGTTGGCGCTCCGCGCGGATTTCTTGGATCCGCACTGGGCTCCCTTGGCGGCGTCTCTGGCGCCGCCCCTGGTGCAGATCCAAGAAATCGGCGTGGAGCTCCAAAAGTTTATGTTTATGCCGTTTTTTGCTCCTCTCGAGGGAGCCAAGCTTCAACGAATCTGCGTTTTTGCATACCGTCTGGGCCATAGAGCGCGTCATGTCTCCCCCCTTCTCCCCCCCCTCCCCGCTGGTCATAACGTGGCGCCCCCCCCCCCCCCCCCCCCCAGCACATGCCCAGCACTGCCGCAGTGCGTGTCCGGCGCCGCAGTCTGTCACGGTGCAGGGCGGGGGCGTTGCGCTGTGCCCCGCCCCCCCCCGCCCCCCCATGACGCCCGTTATCGCCGCGAGTTCAAAATGTGCTCTTTGCCTCCTTCGATTTATCTCTTTCATGATGCGTGTTATGTGCGCTGGGTAGCGGGGCACTGAAGCACCTGCTCCGACGCCAGGGGGCGCTGCGCTGAGGGGCCCGAGTGGGTCAGTGCGATCACGGCGTTTTCGCGTTCGGAGACTGGTCCCCTCAAGAGGAGGTCAAGGGGCAACGCGCACCTCGACCCTCAGAACTGGCGTTTACCGAGCAGTCCTGGGCGTTTTGCAAAGCCAGTCCTATCCCGTTCCAGCCCAGTCTCAGGTTCTTTCACGAAGCGGCTTCGCTTGCTGGGGTGCATCGAGAAATCGATCCAGGACTAACCCTGGGGTGCGTTCCGGCAAGAATCTCGGCGCGAGTGCAGCCGTGGCGACGAGGAGGCCCAGGATCGAAGAAGACGAAACGCCACAAGCCTAACTCTTGGCGCTCCGCGCGGATTTCCTGGATCCGCGCTGGGCGCCCTCCGTGGCGCGCGGAGCGCGCCAGGGGCGGCGCTCTGAGGCCGCTCCTGGCGCCTCGCTCCGCGCGCGCTCCGAACGCGCGCCGATTGGGGAGGGGGCCCAGCGCAGATCCAAGACATCCGCGCGGAGCGCCAAGAGTTTAGGCTTGTGGCCCTCGATGCGCGACGAGAGGGGAGGGGAGTCAGGCGGGCCTGGGCTCGGGACGCGCGTCAATCCACAGCGCTCCAGCACCCTCGCGGAGGACCTCCCAGAGCGTGCCTGCGGCCGCGGCGTCCAGCACGCCCTCCAGACCCGCCGTGGGCCGCCGTGGAGCGTCGGGGCGCCGGAAAGGCGAGATCGTGGCGTCGGCGCGATCCCCTCCTCCTCCTCCTCCTCCTCCTCCTCCTCCTCCTCCTCCTCCTCCTCCTCCTCCTCCTCCTCCTCTCTTCCTCCTCCTCCTCCTCCCTCCCTCCTCCGCCTCCTCATCCTCCTCCTCCTCCTCCTCCTCCGCCTCCTCCTCCTCCTCCTCCCCTCCCCTCCTCCTCCTCCTCCTCTCCTCCCTCCTCCTCCTCCTCCTCCTCCTCCTCCTCCTCCTCCTCCTCCTCCTCCTCCTCCCTCCTCCCTCCTCCCCTTCCTCCGTCCGCAGATCCCCGAGGCGCTGGCACGCGCTCCGAGGAGCATCGCTCGGGCCGCACGCGCGGGGGGTCCGCCCGGCCCGCCGCCCCGTCAGGCCGCGGCCGGCGGCCCGGGCGCCGCCCGGGGCAGCGGCCGGCGCGGCGGCGGCGAGGCGCCGAGAGGCGCCGCGGGGCGCCCGCCGCGTGCTGCCAGCGTGCCCCCCGCCCCGGACCCCCTCGCGCCGTGAAAGGATCACGACGGGAGGTCTTTCACAACTGTCGGCCTCGGTCCGGGGGCCCTTTCCCAGGCCTCGGGGCCGTCGAAAAACGACTCAGGATGAGAAGCCGGTCCCGGGGAAGGGGTCCAGGCCTCTGGGGTCGACTTTGTGAGCCATCACGGCGTCGGGGATCTGGGACCTTCCGGCGGCGAGCGAGGGGGGAAGTGAGCACAGTGAACCCGCATAGCAAGGATGGGCAACCCTCCAAGGGGTATGCCCTTGCATCCTTGCCGCCTCGGTCCATCCTCGGCCGCTTTCGCTGGCCGCGCCCCGCCCGAGAAGCTACTAAATGGGCTTGCAGGCCTTTCTCCTGGTGGTCATCATGCTGTGGGGGGTGAATCGGGGGCGGCAAAGGGGGGGGTGATGACTAGGGGGGGGTGGATATGATGGCGGGGGCCATGATATTTCCCCAGATTTCATGGCGCCTCTTCTTATCTTAGGCTTACGCCACACCGCCGACCCCTTGTTTATGCCAATCTGGGGGTAGTAGAAGCGGGACGAGCGCCGCGGAGAGACCCTCCGAAACGCCCGGCGGAACCAAGTGACGAGCATTGCGACAAGGCACGGAAGTTGCGAGGAATCTGACCGCTGGGGACGGGATGGATAAGGGGGACGTGGAGGAGGGAGGATGGGGGAGCAGCCAAAGGCGGAGAAGGTGAAAAGTGAGCCAGTGGAGGGAATACGAGACAGAAAGCTGAGAGGGGAGACGGGAGGAGGGGGCGGAAGAGGAGGATGAGAAGGAGCAGGAGAACACGACGAGGACGACAATGGCGGCGACAGACTCGACGGCGTAGGCTGGGCACCTTTTTGGGGCCATCTTGGGGGCTTCGTTGACCGTTGTGGGAGCCTCTGGCGCCGTCGTCGTGAGAATCCTCTCGGGGGCCTGCGGGAGGCAGTTTGGAGGCTTCTGGGGAGCTGTTTTGGGGCAGCTTGGGGCTTTTTTTGGGCTTGTTGGGGGCCTCTTGGGGGCTTCTTGGAGCCTCTTGGAGGCCTCTTGGGGCCTCCTTGGCGCCTTTTGGGGCGGAAGGCTAGAATTTTAGGTTCGTGGTCCCCGTCTGGAGCCTTTCTTGGGCCCCTCTGTGGGCCCTCTTGGACTGTCTGAAGGCCCTCTTGAGCCGTTTTGAGGCGCTCTTGGGCCGTGTTGGGGCCCACTTGGGAGCCTCTCGGGTCGTCTTGATGCCGTCTTGGGGGCTTCTTTCGCCGTCTTGGAGCGTCGGAAGCCCGAAAAAACGCGAAGGCCAAAAACGTTGAAAAAACCAATGGAAATCGACGATTTTGGCCTCTTGGGGCCATCTTGGGAGGCGTCTTGGAAGCTTCTTGGGGCGTCTTGGAGGCATCTGGGGCCATCTGGAGGCCATCTTGACCGTCTTCGAGTGTTTTTTCGGCGACTCGGGGCCCTCTTGGACCGTCTGCAGAGCTTCTTGGGAGCCTCTTCGCTCGTTTGCGGCCCCCCCAGCAGACTCTCTGGAGCGGATGACCCCCCCCGGACCGCGCCGGCGGATCCCGGGGAATCCGGCCGGACCCCCCCCCCCCCCCCTCCAAAACGACCGGACCAGGCTCCGGGGGGAGGGGTTTGGGGAGGGGGGAAGCATCTCACACGCCGATGACCCCAAGGGGTCGGCGGATTTCATTACGTCCCTGGCCCCCCCGCTGGGCCGCGCACATGCCGCCGGTCATGATTTGCACCCCCCTTCTTGGACACCCCCCTCTTGGCCGCTCCCGAGTGAAGGAGAGCACAGGTGCTCTGAAGGGCCCCTTTAGCGGCCCTATATACAAACTACCCCCCCGCAATTTGTCGCCCCCCTGTCATACGCGACGCCCAAGTGGCGATTTCCGGTGGCGAGCGATGGGGGGGAATCGAGGACGAGAAGGCCTCTTCACAAGTCTCGGAAGGCCCCCAGCCTGGAAGAAGTTTCCTGAGCTTTCCCCGAAGACACAGAGAACTTCTCTGAAGGCGCGAGCGTTAAGTATTACACATGCGGCGGGCAAGTGCGCGGACTGCGCAACGAATGCAGACCCCTTCCCCGAAGCGGGGCCCAAGGAAGGAACCATTCCTGGAACCGCATCTCCACGGGCTGACATCCCAGGCTCGACGGTGTTACAGTTGACGTTGGGCCTTGGTTGATCTCCCCCGATGAGTGATCGGTTCCCTTCTCTTTTCCCCCCTCTGTGACCCTCTGTTGTTCGTTTTCCCCCTTGCCGTGGACGTTTATCTGAGAAGCCCAGCCGCCTTCTGAGAAGGCCTCCTCCTCCCTCCTCCTCCCCCTCCCCCTCCTCCTTCCTCTCTCCTCCCTCCTCC